TAACGGACGAGGAGATGGCGAAACAATGCAGGGAGGCTGAATTGAAGGGATGGAGGCAGGATGGGGTGAAGGGCTGGTGTTGGTGGGACGACGAAGGTGTTGAAGGTGGAGGAAGTCCGATGGCACAGACCCAGAGCTCCCAAGAGCCGACAGCCCACGGCAGAAACGAATGCGGGAGGAGCCTAGATGGAGAAGGCGTGGCTGCCGACATCTGGGGGACGACCAACAGAGACGAGGGCCCAGGATCCGATGGCACATACGGAGATTTGATGGTGATGAGCGACATCGCTGGTGCTGGCGACCCAGGGGATGTCTTGGCGACGAGCCTCATAGGTGGAGCCAGATCACCCGAGGAGGACTGAGGTGACGTCGGTGAGACCGAGGACAGAGGTGAAGCTGAAGGGAGAAAGGAGTCCACTGCAGCCATAAGGGAAAAAGGATGTAGCGGATGTCCTGTATATCCATGGCACAAGTGGAGCAACGACTGACCAAAGGGTGACTCCGGTGGAGGACGGAGCAGAAGTTACTCCTTCATGACGACGCCATTAAAGGTGCCATATGTAATAATTGATGTAACAATATCCGAAAAATGAGCTACACGCATCAAAAGAATGAGAAGAAATAAGCGCAATGATGTCATTAAAAAACTGACAAGTTATAGTGCTGCCGAGATAATAACCTGAATTAGCATGCTAAATTACTAGCCCCGGCCCGGCAGGTGTCGTAATACCGGTTCCGGCCATGGGAGGCGGTATGCGGGCGGGCAACGTTACCACCAGCCAAACTGCAATAGACGAGTGAGTCGCGCTCGCGCCGGCTTGTGTGTGTACTTGAACCTGATGTCAGTCGTGTGGAAATACAGCCCACCACTACATTTCAGTTCAGGGAAGAGTTCAAAAAATGATTGGTCGACATTATGCATGAGGAATACATTTTGGTAAGTTGTAGCATACTATATCTTTCAACAGAGTTCATGTCCTTTTTCCATTAGCTAGTAGAGACGATCGGTTCACGTGCGCTAGGGATCTGTGGTGTTACATGTACAAGCGCCAAAACGGTATTTATTCTTTGAATTGCGTACTAAAATTGACAGAATCTGAGAGCTTAACTAACCTGCTTGCTAAGTGTCAATTGCGTGTGTCTCACGGTGAATTCACGGCGCTAGCTTGATCAACATCAGCAAATGCTGTCTGTCAAATTAATTCACTAACAATAAAAGTGTAATATGAACAAAACGAATAGGCCTACCATAAACTTCAAATAATTGCCCAAGCTTTTATTTTCCCATATAGTCGAAATGCACCAGCTTGTTTTTGAGACAGGCGTCTATAAAGCGGTCTTCATCATTTAGCATTGAGATGTTGTTCATTGAGTTTCTGATCTCTAAAAAATCTCCAAATGCTCTACGTGAAACTGCGGTCTTCCAACCTTTTACTATCATGTCAAATGATTTGAATAACATGGGCGATGGTAGGAGCACAAGTCATTTTCTGGAGGTATACTGCCCCCATCTGTTATGGAATATGGAGTAGGATTTGATTTATTATGTTAGATGGCACCTTTAAAGACGATTCTATATTTTTGAACCAACAAGGTTCAAACAATTGATGTTACAAAGTCACTACAGTTTTTAGAAAAAGTGGTGACTGGCTAGTTAATTTCTCCTAATGTATTGTACTGTAATGTAATGTATTGTGTCTAATGTAACGGCCAGCAGATTTTGAAAATACACAACTCAAAAGGTCCTACCTTCTTTCCTCCAGCGCTGCCCCTAACTCCACCCATTCGAAGAATTGTACCGGGGCGACTTGCACTTACTGTGACTGGGTCACGAGCTGCGAGAATGCGCACAAAGAGGACACACGTGTGAGGGGGGAGCGGGGTATGGTACAACCGTTTGATTGACGCACTTACTGTCCAATGATTCTAGGTTGTCTTGGAAATGATTGGCTGGAGTTTTGCAACTGCAACCAGAGGTGTGCACGCTCATGGATCACACACACATGCACGCTTGCACAAGCTGTTCATAACCAAAGGAGCATCAGCAATAAAGTTATAAATCTGCAAGTCATTTAAAATATATGAAAGGAAAGGCATTTGAGTAAATTACACACTTATGTGAGTGTAGGTGTGAGGGGGAAACGGGGATAGTAGAAAACTTCGGTTTTTGTTCCCATCTATCTCCATGTTGAACTGTTTTATGTGCTTACTGTATCCACTTACGATGAAACACATTCGTGAACAATATAAGTTACTACTTTGTATAGGACCCGTTTGAGCCCTACAGCAGACCGGAGATCTCTCCATTTGTTGAAAGCTTCCCGATGTTGACTCTCGTCTTATTCCGACACCTGGCACTAGACAGAAGTTTTATTTTCTTTGTCTTGCGTGGAGTTTGCGTTGGGATTAGGAATGAACTACAAGCCGGTCTCTTTGAATCCATCTTCTACTTTTGTCAAAAGTTGACTAAATTTTCGAGTTGTCTTCGCTGATACTGAGAATGGCAGCGAATACACAAGCCTGCCAGATTTAGCCAGGCGAGCGTGAATGCGCATGACGTCACACCCAGTCTCAAACTCCGTCCCGAATCCCTCTTATTTATTTCACTGTACAGGATTATAGAGGCAATCGCAGTGATCAGAGAAGGGCTCATTCAGCCCATCAGGCACTTGTTTAAACATGTATGGGTTAGAAAAACAGGTATTTTTAACATGAAATGTTGCGCAATGCACCTTTAAGCAGAATTCACTGTGCATTGTCATTGTACATCAAACACACCCCACAAAAAAAAAACACCTAGCAAACACCCTAGTAACATTGCTGGCACCTTGCATGGCCACATCTGGCACCTTCTGGTTTTGATCTAGTCAGTAACATACTTGTTTCAGTAATCAAGACACGCAGGTTTATGTTTGGAATTAAAGGGTTAGTTCACCCAAAAATGAAAATTAAGTCATTAATTACTCACCCCTATGCTGTTCCAACCCCGTAAGACCTTCGTTCATCTTCGGAACACAAATGAAGATATTTTTGATTGAATCTGAGAGCTGGATCAGTCCTCCATAGACTGCCTAAGGGACTGGCTCTTGACGGCCCATAAAGTCATTAAAGAAAAGGTTTAAATATTCCATGTGCCTACAGTGGAGCAGCCGGTAACAAGAAGTAGACGAATGAGAACGTCCTCGTCTCAGTTCTCGCGCATGCGCCCATAAGGAAGTAATGGAATAGTGGAATAAAGTCATTATTTATGTTTTTTCGCACAAAAAGTAGTCTCGTCGCTTGATAAACTTATAATTGAGCCACTGTAGGCACATGGAATATTTAAACTTTTTCTTTAATGACTTTATGGGCCGTCAAGAGCCAGTCCATTAGGCAGTCTATGTAGGACTGATCCAGCTCTCAGATTCAATCAAAAATATCTTTATTTGTGTTCCGAAGATGAACGAAGGTCTTACGGGGTTGGTACAGCATGGGGGTGAGTAATTAATGACTTAATTTTCATTTTTGGGTGAACTAACCCTTTAAGTATGAACACTTGCAATTTAACAATTTTAACATTGTATCAAGGATCATTACAGAGAAATATTGATACCAAATGTTTCTTTTCTAGTTTTTTACTTCGAATTCAACATGACATCATGACTTTTGCGTAAACATACACGCCACTTTCGAGTCAAGTGGCGTGTTATCTCTACGCATTTTGAGCTATCCGCGTAATATTCGCGTGTATGTCTACGCCATTAACGTCCGAGTGATTCCGCGTGTCCGTACACGCCGTCAAATGTCCAGTCATAAATGCCATTAACCCCAGTGACGGTTAGGTTTAGGGACGGGGTTGAGGTAAGTCATATATTTATATAACGTTAAGTCAACGGCGTTCATAAACACGCTGAAAAGCGATTATGTGTCTTGATAGCACGCCAAAAATGTAAATACGAATTGGCGTGTCATAAACACGCTACTTCATGAGATCAGTCTGTCGAATTAAACAAATTAAAAAGTAACTAAACCCTAAACCCTTTTTTTAGTTAATGATCTGTAAGAATGGATCTTTATTAATACCAGTCATTTATTCGAGTAACTTTTTTGACATTTGTGTATTAAGTGTTTTATTTCTACAATATATGGTGTAAAAACGTCTTAGTGCTGCCCTCTTCAGGTTGAACGGGGGCTACTGCAGTTGAATTTTCCTACTGGATTTTAGCGGTTCTTCGTGACATACGCAGGTTTCAGCTCACCACGCTCTTGGTACGAGATACGCCCTTGGCAGTATAAAAACCAGCTTGTTTTGTCAAAACCACTGTAGCGAGTCAGGAGTTGGAATTGCGATTATTGAAAACGATCAGGATAGAGTGTTTTAGCATCTATTTCGTCCCCTCTATCTCCGCTGGGGTCTGCCCACTTTTTCAGCATTTTTCAAATATTGCCCGTGGGTGGAGTCAGGCTCTGACCAGGGGTTTAGTTACCCTTTAAGAGGGGAAAATATGACTCTCGTTCAAACAGAGAAAGCTGATTGAGAGACCACCAAACACACTACATAAAAGGCATGTCCAGGTACTGTATGTGTGTACGTCTTTAAAAATATGCTGAAAGATTTCAATTATTTCATCTCAACTGATTCAAATTAATGGGTTAGTTCATGCAAAAAGGAAAATTCTCTCACAATTACTCACCCTCATGTTGTTCCAAACCCGTAATACTTTCATTCATCTTTGGAACAAAAATTAAAAAAAAATTGGACTATACCGCTCAATTGATATGGATTAGTTTTATAATCTCTTTTTGAATTTTTTAAAGCGACAAAGTGGTAGTTGCGTAGCTGTCAATGGAGGGACAGAAAGCTCTCAGATTTTATCAAAAAGACCTTCTTTTGTGTTCCGAAGATGAACAAAAGTCTCAATGATGACAGAATTAAAATTTTTCTGTGGACTTCCCCTTTGATTGACACCCCTGGCTTCTTTTAAAGTAACTAAAATATCTTAATGTGTGTAGGGTCTCACCATTGTGACCGTGTGGTGGGCAGACACAGGCTTGTTCTCCACACGGTCGATGTTTTGCTTGAAGTTGATGCCTGACTGCCTCTGTGGAGCTCTTTGGATGGATTCTAGAAACACCGCAGGCATCAGCTTGGCCAACCGACCACGGGACTGGGTCTGAAGCAATTCCCCATGAAATTCCAAAGCCTTTCCCTGGTTGTGGACACCCGAGTGCTGATGCACTGGGCCAGTCATTTCATTAGCTATGCGTCGATGGGGTCTCTGATAAACTTCATCGTCCTCAGTAATGACCCCTGAAACAAGAGTTTCACGTCATAGCTGTTACTATATAATGACTGGAATACTGTTTTAAATCAATTTCACAACAGGGCCACAACAGTACATTTTATAATATACATTTTATTATTATATCCCATATTAAATATAACTTTTGTTGTCTTGTTTTGTAAATATGCACATGAAAACATTTCAATAACTCAAAGTGAATAACTTCAATAACTCAACAATGTAATTAAATCTGACTGACTGGTGAGTTTATAAAGGAAATGATTTTTATGTCCAATACAAATGAACCTTGGACCACTTGGAGCCTGAGCAACCAATTAAAATAAATGGCATTCACTCAATGAAGGTTCTTTATTGGCATCTATAGTTCCATGAAGTACTTTATCTTTAAGAGTGTTGATGAACCCGAAAAATTACAATAAATGTCTTTTTTTATTTTTTATTTTCCCTTTGGGATAATTCACTACAAAATCTTTTAATCATTTACTAATCATCATGTCATTCCAAAGTCTATCTATCTCGTTGATGGTTTAGATGTAACTAGAAGAATGTTCAGTATGATAAAAGAAAGAAAACTCACTTAATTCAGCCTTAATAAATATTGCAAATTATCAAGAATGATTTTGTTTAAGTGCTAAAAAGTGAAGTAAGATATCTTAAAACCTGACAGGAGCAAGACATCGGCAACAGTAAAAAAAGAAAAAAGAAAAAAAGAAAAAGTAATGAATATCTGCGTATCTGAAATATCTGCTACTGTACCTGATATGAGCTTCAGAAATGACTGCATTGGTGATATTCTTATTCATTTAAGCATTGACTAGAAATGTTGACTAGATAAACATTTTCCTGTCTAATAAAGGTTCGCATATTTCACTATTTCCATGTCATGAAATTGGTTTTATTTACTCCTTCTAGCCTCCGAATGATCCAATTGTCCATATTATTAAACACACATCATGTGCATTATTTACCAAACAAACGCCGAATTTACTCTTACAGTAGAAAATGAGGAAATTAAAACAAACATCGATATCGATATTGTTTTTAGCCTCACCTGTGACGTGAAATCCCATCAATAAAGAAATAACGTGGAATGTCGCGTTCACGAACATGATTCTCCTCGTTTTACTAAAATACATTATGCCTTTATGAAAGTCAATCGAGGCTGCAGTGTCTCTATGGTTAAAACAGTGAAACGATTGCTGCTTAATACAATAATTCCTCTTCTGTTGTGATCACACACCCTGATGTGTCTCTCTAGCGCCGAGAGGATTCATTTAGCGAGTCGATTCGCTTGATCGATTCATTTGTATGGAACCGATTCAGGCTATGTTACGTCTGGTCCAGACCGGATCTTTTAAATTGTAATCTTTTAAACCTGTTTATTATTTTAGTCAAATACAACTGTAGTAAAACGAGTATAACATAGGCTACATTTCTATTGCTCGCTAAACAATATTTTTCTGTGATGAATCAATTAACTATTCAGTAATGTTTGAGCTGTCTTTCCAATTTACTTCTGTTTGTTATACGTTTAATGCTAAGTTGTTTAGGATTCAAGTATCCACTCACCTCACAAACTAGGTTCTTGTAGTCCAATGCTCTGCAATCCAGTTCTAAAGAATCTTGAGAACCCGTTCAAAGGAACGATTGATTAATTTGGTGAAAATTATAAGATGAAAAATGAACAAGCTTTATTTGCCAACATACATCTTTTACTAATGAATAAATACATCTGCAGATTCTGCACATCTCGAAACTGATCCCATCAGAGACGTCTATTTGATGTGTGAAGTTTGCTCATCTGCAATACGTCTCTTGGACATTTCCTGTCAGATGTCAAACTGACATCTTATTAAAGACAGCTATCAGATGTTCGTAAACAGCAGATACTTTCCTGATGAAGTGATCTTTAACAGACATCTTGCAGATGTACGTGTGCTATCTTAAATCATGATAATTGATTAGATCATTGCATCCATTAAGAAGATCTGGCAACTTTCGGACAAGGATTTGTCAACTCAATATTGTTTGCTCAAGTCAAAAAGAATTAAATCTATCAGATATTTAATCCCAAGGCACAGAAAGAGAGAGAGAGAGAGAGAGAGAGAGAGAGAGAGAGAGAGAGAGAGAGAGAGAGAGAGAGAGAGAGAGAGAGTTTGGTACTTAAAAGCAAAAAAAAAAAAACTTAAAAGCGAGGTAGATATTTAAGCAGTCTGAACGTGAAATGTAGTCTTTGATTCTCAGTCAGCATCACTTGGTTTTTTGTGTGAAAGCTTCTTTTATAAACCAGGCTTGATCAAGAAAGGGCTGTTAGACAAAGTCACATGATGACCTTCATTCAGAACTCAGGCTAGCATTCATAAAAACCAGAACATTGACTGCAATGCCATGTTTTTGTTTAGTGACGCCTCAATGAACATTTATTTTCTAGTATGTTCCTTCAACAACGATGCTCATCCTCAAGCACAACTCATCGTCATCTTCAACACCTCATAAACACCCCACAAATCCTCCATTTCTTACTCATGAGCTCTTAAGAGGAGATCATTTTGGATGATTTTCTTCTTAAAAAATTCCGATCTGCCAAGTCAGTCTGCTGTGTCGTCTTGTGGCGAACATGTACTGTAGACTCTGCTGTTGCCATGGCAATCTGATGTCTGACATTCACCATGCAGCAAAACACATCTCTGCCAAAATGCATCGCCCAAAATAGATCTGATGTATTTTATGCGATTAGTTGGAGGGTAACTGCACTCCTGGAGTTGAGTCCATGGATCTGTAATTTCAAAGACCATAACATAATTTTAAAGACCAGAACAAACAGACGTAATACAAAGACCATGAGAAGCAGCTTATCTGGAAAGATATTTGACAAATTATTGAATCATTTTAAAATTCATTTTAATTAGATTTAAAAAAGTACACTGTAAAAAATTTGGAGTAGGATTTACTTGAAAAAACCTTGCTAAATGATCTCACTCAGAAAATGCTAGTAAATTTACAAAGATTTGCCAAGTAAAAACCAAAACATATTTATCAGTAGCTTTAATTAGAAATCTTTAAGTTAAATTTACTTGGAATGTGGAATTAAGTAAACTTTACAAAAAATAAGTAATTTTAACTCGGCTTGTAAAAGGTTGATTAATACCAATTTCCTTTGTACTACATTTCACTAAAACAATTATCTTGAATTTTATTAGTCATTTATAGTATGTTCTTTACATAGATCATCTAAGAAATTTATATATACATCATGTCAGACTTCAAGCCTTATGTGAATGCAAACACCTCAATACTTGGTAGACAATACACAATGGTGGTAACATTTGATGGATCGTTTTTGTGTTTGAATGTGTCGTTTTAAGCAAAAAATTCACTCGAAATGTCACAAAATGGCAATTTACTAATGCTGAAAACCAAAATCAATGACAAAACAGTGTAAATACAGCTGGAAACCAGTGAAAAATGAACCTCATTAATTATTCAAGGTCCAGTGCATGATGGGAACCCCAGTATCAGAAAAGTTGAGTAATTTTTACTTAATTTTATTGAGTTGATATTACACTTTCATTTATAATCGCTTGAAATAAGTACTGATTTGGAATTTACTTAGTTTTTTAAATTCTTGCATGAACTAACTTTTTCAAGTAAATTACATTGGGTTTTTTCACTAGTATTTACTTAACCAAAAAAATATTTTTTTACAGTGTAGGCTAATGACAATAAAGTGTAAAATGTAACAAAAAAAAAAAAAATAAGTGTAATGTAAATGTTGTATTTTAGAAGGTTAGGCTAAACTAATCAGTTTAAATAGTATTCTCAGTGACACATTCCCATTCCTAAAGATATTTCATTTCGATTAATATTTTGATACATTTCATTCTAAACAATAAAACACGTCCAAAAGCCTGTTTACTTTTGACAGTAGATTGATTTATAAGAATATAAGTATTTCTCCTTTTTTTTACACGTAATATGTCACTGGTAAATTATATAGTATCTGCTCATGTGACTTTCTAGCAACTACTGTCAGTTTCGACCATACAAAAATAATCAGTTGGTAGAATGGAAAGAAAACTTACACAAAATGGGAGGGGATTAATGGCCCAGATGTTGTCTTTGATTTGTCAGATCTTTATAACTATTATCATTCTATATCTCTTCTCTTTACCCCATTCAAGGTCCCAGACTAAAATACATGTTTGAGATGTTTTAACTGAAAGCAACTTGCAGATCTTGAAATATTTCAGTGCCATTGTTTTGCACAACAGTAATGTTGTCGTTTTTTCCCCTAAGGCACATTTATAAAAGCTACTGAAATGCCCTAATTAAACTTATGCCTCGTGGCTTAATGTAAGCCCTGTCTGTGAAACCAAGGGGATAGTTCACCCAAAAAAATTGACTCAACCTAATGTCGTTCCAAACCCGTAAGACTTTCATTCATCTTCAGAACACAAGTTAAGATCTTTTTGATGAAATCTGAGAGCTTTCTGTCCCTCCATTGACAGCTTGCAACTACCATTTGATGCTTCAAAAAGTTCATAATAAATATTGGAAAATTAATCCATTTGAATTTAGTGCTTTTGAACACATTTTCTGAAGTGACTCGACCGCTTTATGTGATGAACAGTTTTGATTTAGGCTGTTATTCACAAACTGGATTAGCAAACATAATCAGAAGCTCAACCGAACATGCTTGATGATCGACAGGCCTCCTTGGTTCTTGAAGAAGCTCAAATTTAACGTGAGAATGAACCGCAGACAGTAGGCCTATAAGAAGTGGACAGGAACTCAAATGAGACAAGTGAAGCCCATTTTTAGCAATTTTTTATGACTTCCGTTCCTGACGCACAGACTCAAACTGACTCAAACAGAGCTTGACGACGCAGATGTGACGTGAGCAACCCGTCTGTCTTCTGATGAATTATTTTGTCATTTTGCCTCCACGTTTCCCCGATTGCCCGCGAGCTTCTTCTCCTGTCCATATGGTAATCTCCCTACTGTGCGACAGCGAGTTGCGTGATTATGACGCAATCGTTACCCTATTTTCACAAAAAACTGCTTCTGCGGGGCCATAACATAAGCTACAATGGAGCATTTTATACATTGTCGTGTTTCTTTAGAAATAAATAATGGACAAAAGGAGTCTTCAAACGCCTCAGATTTAAAGTTATTCGCTGTCAAAGTGACGCCAAAATTAATGGGAGTCAATGGAAATGCTATATCAAGTGAAGTTCTGTTACAAGATGGCAGCACCCGGTCGGCTTCAACTTCCAGTCGATGGATTACCCCCTTGGAATTAACCTAATTGTTTCTCATGTGTCAAGCAAACATGCTTGATGCTATGACACAAGGTGTAATTGACAGAATTTTAATTTTTGGGTGAGCTACCTTATGTAGCCCGCCCCTTTTTCCGCGTTGTGCTCATTGTCTTTTGACTGAACTGCTCGTAAAAAAATCCTGGTCGATATTTGTTAAGACATTTGCTTTAATGCTTATGATAAACATTACAATGCTCATGATAACTTTTGTTAACTCTACAATAAGTAAATCCACTTCACCAACTAATTACTCCTCCTCGACAGCGATGCCATAGAAATATACAGAGCGACCGCGAAAACGGAAGTTCAAAGACAATATTCTAAAGATGACGGAGCATGGTGCATAAGGTCTATACCTTTAAGTTCACCGTCGTTATCTACAGTTCGCTTTCTTGTGTTTGGTGTTACTTTTCTCTGCGCTGAATCAGGATTGACGAATCAGAGGCGTTTTGGATTACTGGCATTTGGATTTGCCTTTAGATAAAAACATTTCATGGAGATAGTTGAAGCGTGTCAATTTATGATCTTAACATTTTTTTAAACAACCAATTTAAAATGATTACACATTTGATCAAGTGTCTGCTGCAACAGTAAGAAATCAAACGTCTGAAGCGGCTCAATGATTGTCTCTCTCAGTCTCAGTCTGAGCCACCGCGCGCCCCCTGCAGGAATAAACCGTGTGAATCTCGTAGGAAACAGAGCCGCGGCCCCTTGCGTGGATCACCTGACCACCTCTCAGGCACGTCACAGACACACAGAGCGCCATTAGACTGATGGCAGATCTTCAACAGGAGTGAATCAGTGTTTAACAGTGTGAACAGCGCGAAGACTTCATGCGAAGCGCAGATCGGTGGCTCTTTGTGTGCGTTACTGTCATATTTGGATCTATATGGCTGCTGTGATCGGCTAGTGGGGCTCGAATCAGGCTTTGTTTTTGCGTCCGGGAGAGAGAGAGAGTTTGGGCATGGCGGCGGCTGGAGGAAAGACGTACTCGTTCAAGGTGGTTCTTCTGGGGGAGGGTTGCGTCGGCAAAACATCGCTGGTGCTGCGATACTGCGAGAACAAATTCAACGATAAACACATCACCACCCTTCAGGTGAGCGAGTCTGCTGAACTAACCTTACTCGACGTATTAAATGTGTTAGCAAGCCTTCACTCGTTTATTGGGGTTTCATTTGAAATATATTGAATATTTTGTGTTTAAGTTACTTTTTGTAATAAACGATTTGGTTGCTTAAGTAGTTTTGCTCGTCTTTTTTGTTTTCTATCTATTGTTAGATTATGGGCCTAGATTGTGATAGATTATATATGCAATTCGTATAAAAATTGGTTATTTAATAATATACTGTGTATTAATAACTATTTTTAACATGATATGTCAAGCAGTGGCCTGTTGTGTGCCACACGATAAACTTTCATTTTAAATCCAAACACCTTTTGACTAGTTCTTGTAACTTATACTTATGTTTACTGTTTTTCATGTCACAACTTGAAAGCATTGTTCTTTTAAAAAGTCTTTGTACATTTAACCCCAAATCGTTATCTGATGACTAATTTATGTCCAAGGTTTCCCATCAACCTACCTGTGTATACCTATTCAATTAGAGGAAACTCTCTTCCTGGTCTTTTTTTTTTTTCATAAGAACCAAAACATTTTCAGTTAATTTGTGATTTTTGTGTAACGTTACACAATATTTGGTTATGTGACAGAATGATGACAGAATTATTAGGACATGTTGTGTATTTTCAAAAACAGTTGTGAAATATTATTGCAGTTTAAAATAAGTGCTTATTATTTGTAAATATCTTAAACAGCAATTTATTCCTTTGATCAAAGCTGAATTTTCAGCATCATTATTCCAGTCTTCAATGTCACATGATCCTTCAGAAATCATCAAGTTGTCCTAAGACTAGAACGGGTATTTGTTAAAAATGTATGTGTAACTTTGAAAGGTTTTGAGTGTGGTTTAAATCTTTTTTTTTTAATACATTTAGTCAAAACCAGTCCATACACAAGTCAAAATAATTATTATACTCCTATTTTTATACAATATTAATATTTTCCACATTTTAGGATATCGAAGAAATAAATAATAAAATTAACAAAGCTATGAAATAACATAATGGAAAGGATGTATTGATTATATTAGATTCTTCAATTTTGTCACCCATTTTCCTAATAACAATTAACACGTGTTATCAGTTATCAAGGGGTGTGTAGCACCTTATGCTTTATGTAACTATAAATCTATGTATATAGGGTTACTTCACTCAAAAACATTTTCGTCATTTAACTACTCTCATGTTGTTCCAAACCTGTATGACTTAATTTTTTTTCTGTGGAAAATGGTATTTTTTTATGTTTTATTTTCCAACTAAAACTGCTTGGTTACTCCTTTTAAACTCAACATTAAATATAATGAAAGGCCATCCCTCAGTGTGGCTGAGTTCAGAATGATGATGGATTTGTAATGGTTCAACCATGTTACTGTGTAACAGACTATAAAGCATAAAGGAAAGGCTGCGGTGGCCTTTAAGTAACACTGTGAAACTGGTTATATGTTGTCAATAATCCATTATAATGATTGTACGGATTAATCATTCCTCTTTGACCAAGCTTTTTTTTCTTCAGCCGAACCTCTTAAGGGATACTCCACCGTTTTTTTTTTTCATAATAAACTGTTATTCCCTTAAGACAAGTTGATACATACCTCTCTTGTCTCAGTGTGTGCACTAAATCGCTCTGTCTTGCGGTGAAACTTTGTTAGCACTTAGCTTAGCCCAGTTCATTCAATAGGATCCACGCAGAGAAGTGACTAAACACCTCCACGTTTTCCCTATTTAATTACGAGCCGTGTAACTCAACCAAGAATGGTGACGCAAAATAAACCGTTTAGCTTTTCTAAGTGTGTAAAATTGGTAACTATAATGTATAACGCAATACCATAGCAAGTAGCCTGAATGCCAGCCCGTAGTCCCCGAACCCCCCACACAACATTTTTTGGTCGGGAAGTTCGGTCTGGACTCGATCCATTGAGGAGTAATTATGATCAGGCAAAAAATGTTTGCACCAATCAAATTACCAGGGCGGGCTTTATACGATGATGGACAGATGATCTTCAGAGACGTTATCATCACGTTATCAAAGAGCGCTTAACTGGTTTCCCTCTGAGATGACTGCAGCTGGAGAATTGAGATGTATAGATTCCGCTGTCGCGTCTGTTGTAAAATAAATCGACAGCATATTCAATTTAATAGACAAACAGAAAATTGCAATCAAGGCATTTGTCGATCGGAAAGATAATTTTGCCATCCTTCCTACATGATTCGCGAAAAATGTAACTTATCAGCTGGCTCCAATGGTTGCTAAGAAGATGGGGCGTAATGAAAAGCCTGTGGTCGTTGTGGTTTCTCCTTTGGTCGCGCTCATGGAGGACCAACTAAAAGAAACAACACTCGCTATTTTACTTCTAAAATAAGTAAGTTCTGTAGTTGACAACTGTATGCAAAGTAGTTGACTTACTGTGTTGCTCTAATTGGTTGTAGGTCTACCGACTGTCCAATTGAGTGCAGAGTTTTTTTGGGTTTTTTTTTGGTTCGCTTAAGACACGAATCATAATCAAAGCCCTACGGAGCAGTTTCAGACTCATATTCCGACAAGAATATGAGTATGACGAAGTCAGGCTACATAGCAAGTGCTTGGGAGCACTTTGACTCAGTGCAGTAATATCATCACTCCAGGGAGGGAGAGGACTTTTCACGAGTGATGAATCTATATTACCATGCCGAGTCGAAGTGCTCCCAAGCGCTTGCTATGGAATTTCGCCATACATTATAGTTACCCACTTTACACGCCAGGACTAAATGTTTTTTTTGTTCGTGACCAAACTAACCAAGCAAACTGAACTATAAGTGTGAACACCTTTAGAGGCCTCTGTCCACTTGTTTGGTGCCCACCTGGGTCCGGATGGCAGCATTCACACGCATGGGCGTCAGTTTGGTTTGAAATGTGTGAGACGGTTTCGTAAGGGGATTTTCAAAAGTGCTGGGTAGTGGGTACAATGACTCATTCATTCTTTTTTCTCTTTCGTGCACGTCATGTTTTGGAAGATGATGTCCTGTAGCTTACTGATGTAAATAAATAAAAATGAATACCAAGATGTGATGTCCGATCAAAAATGTGCTGGTACTTTGGGTTTAATTGGTCGTACTGTGAGATCTAATATATGTTGTTAGTATTGTGAATTTTTATGTGAATAAATACTGTACATAAACTGAATAGTAAGTACATAAATACTGAAATGGTCCAGTGGCAGAATTTTTGCCAAGCATGTTCTAATTCACATTCGTATAGTGTTTTTTTTCCCCTCATCAAAACGGATAATGTTTATCAGTGGTTGTATATTGATAAAAAAAAAACTATACAAGTGCAGATTTGGACCCAGAGAAGTAGGGACGCATTTGTGTGCATTCTGATTTGTGATTTCACCAGAACGAATAGAATCTCCGCAACGGATTGAAGCGCGGGTCCGAGTGAAGACGACACATTTCAGTGCTAGATCGCCTGTTATTTAACAAACAAATTAAACAAATGCTGCTAGTAAACTTGCATATTGCATAGTTATATAACATCTCACGGCAGGGATGTACCAATACTAGTAACCCTGCCGTGAGATGTTTTAAATGTGGTGGGGACAATATCGCCCCCCCCCCTCTCTTTACGAGAAGACCCATGGGATTTTTAATGACCACAGAATCAGGACCTCGGTTTAACATCTCATCCGAAGTACTGTGCTCTAGAGGTCAACCGATATTGGATTTTACCGATAACGATAGCTAGGTTGGGCTGTACTTGCCGATAACCGATTAATCAACCGATAGTTTTTAAAATTGATACTGGATAAAAACAAACATAACACTCCAAGTAAAACAGTGCTGAACTTTATTATAAAAATACAAAAAACTGTATGAACCATGAAAACATGTCAATAAAAGGCATTCTTTCAAACAAGCAAAAAATAATACTCTAAATAACAAATTAAACATTCCAAATGTAACTGTTTAACTGTTCTTTTTCAAGCCAACCTAATGAATAAAAAAGACGTTTCAAATAATAACAAAATTTGCCATCTGAAAATAATTTACACATTAAAATATGTCAAATGTGTGTTTCTTTAGCTATAACATGTTGCAAGTCCAATTTGTTAACAATGATTTATTAGCTAGTTTACATGAACTATGTGCATTATGCAATATAAATGTTTACAGCATTAATATTTGAGCAATACAATTTCACCTTGATCATTCATGTTAGTTCATAGAGTTTTAACTTTGGTTAACAAATAAAAACCTTAATTTAAAAATGTAGTATGTTAATTAACAAACAATGAACAGCAGTTATTAATCTTAGTTAATGTTAATTAATGTGTTAACCAGCGACTGGCAAGTTCGGGGCTTTATTAGGCTACTGTCGGTGGTTCGGGGGGCTCCACTATGCGCTGCTCTGTCTATTATTGGTCCAACCTAATAAAAACGACAACGGTCCGTGAAGCATAGCCAATATGAGTTGCGTATTTTAGTTCCACTTTCATTTAGTTTGTATTCGCTGCTAACGTGTCGATAGCTTATTGCTCAGACGCACACCAGGTTGTGATATTTGTCTCCGTCTCACTCCGTCTCTCATGTTCCCACAGACGTTTAATCGCGCTTTTCTTGTCACGGATTCATTGACGCGTCTCTTCCACGCTTACCATGCGTTTAACGTGTGGCAAATTAAAATTCAGTCGCACACTCTCAAATTTTGGTCGCAAAATGCGACTATTTGGTTGCAGTCTGGAGCCCTGTATTTTATAGAACTTAATGAATATTTAATAAAAATAAATATGTATTAAAGTGATGGTGAAAAAAGAACCGAAATCGAATGCTTCTCTGATTCGTTTGTTTTTGTCGGCTGTATGAACATATCAGTTTGCTATCATACGTCTCTAATGCAACGTCGCTGCATAATGAATGCATCAAAGTGACCAGCTGGATATAATTTAATGCAAATAGATGGGAACAATTTGTGACATTAAACATTCGGGTCGGACTTAGGTGTATTTTTGTTGTTTTCGCTGTCCGTGCTTTAGCACGCGCATTAGGGTTGTGCCGATAGACGATAGTATCGTGTATCGACGATAGTCTGACATATCGCCGATGGCAGATGCCTTTGACGATATCAATACGATAATTGGCTCGTTTTACCATAATGTATTAAATTATTATTATTAGGCCTATTATTATTATTATAAAGCTAGTATTGTTATTAAATGAATATTAGGAACTACAATTAATTTGCCTTGCCTAAATTTACAACATCACCTCATAACAACACGCACTAATGAGGACTCCTCTAAGAGAATGTTTTTAAAACAGACTAAAAAACATCCCACATCAAAATTCAATCGCAAGGTGATCCATTCACAAATTATCAAGTGTGCTCGTTTTAACAGACGCAAAATTAAATTTCCTACAGATCCAAGATGAAAACGGCATCGTTGTTCGTCAGTATTTGTTTCTGTAACACATTAACAAAACGTTTAATGACACTAACACTAAAAACAATACAATTGCTAAATAGTATTAATAATAATATCACTAAAATAGTATTATAGTTACCGTTATCATCGTCGTCTCTGAGGGAACGCGGCGTTAATGCAGATGCCGAAAGCAGTCCGTTTTTACTTTCACTTTCAGAGATAGAGCGCGTTTACATGCGACGACGTTCTTAACCTGATTATGTTGAATAAACTTGACAATGCATGTGGTCATGTAAACGTTTCCTTTATCAGAGTCAAGTCATAAGTATAAGTATAAACCGATCGACTCAGCTAGACGTTTGGCCCTTGCTCTTGTTTCTCCCGGCATTTAAAACACATTAACCCGCGTACTTCGTGCTTACTGAAGTGCGCATGTGAAGTGCGCAGAGAACGCACTGGTAGGGGGGCACATATCGCAAACTCCGACTCTTTCTGACCCAAGAAATTATTAAAACGTGTTTTCATCTCGTGCAGAAATAGACCAAAATGCTGCATGTAATGGCATGAGGCTAATGTGTCCGTAAATTTCCCGTTGACAAACAAAAGGATTAGGATCTCTTTTTTTTACTTCACTATACCAGGAAATAACCTGATCCTATTAATAAACACTCCACCTTTGCTAGCAAAATAGAAAAAAGATTCTCGTATATAAAACGAAGTAGGCTAATAAAACAAGCAAATTAATGAGTAGGCTAAATAATCAATAATCAAATAAGTTAGCCCCGCCCCCTCACGATAATATCGTGTATCGCCGATCTCACAGGCTGACGATAGGACGATATGAAAATGGAGCATATCGCCCAACACTAACGCGCATCAGATGTCAGCGATCTCCACACAGCGCGCGCTCTCAGTGCAGCGCGCAGTGTCACGTGTCGAAATAAACAACACGAGGCATCAGTTGATAGTTTTTATGACACCTCTAGAGGCCGTTCTTGTACTGCATGATGTCAGCAGACCCTTCTCAGCTCTCTCGTACTGTGTAATGAATGACAGCGCGCACTTCTCAGCCGCCCCAGCAACGGACGAAACCAGGAAATAACTATCGGTGCGGATTTTTGCCGATAACGATAGTTCCACCAATTAACTATCGGTGCCGATTAATCGGCAAATCCGATTAATCGGTCGACCTCTACTGTGCTCTTTGACAGTATAGTGTCCACATCACTATCCTGTGGCGTTAGGACTCACACAGAGTGAGCGCCCCCTGCTGGCCTCACTAACACTGGTTTTCTCAAACTCAGGTCTCCCATCCAGGTACTGACCACCAGGCTCATCCCTGCTACAGGGTGATATGGCTGCTGGGATGTTGAAGTGTAAATAGACTTGAATCTTCTGAATTAATACAAATTTATGCCTTTGATTGCAGGCATCGTTCCTTACAAAGAAGCTCAACATCACAGGAAAGAGAGTCAATCTGGCTATATGGGTGAGTCACACATGTTCCTCTATAGTTTTAGCATTTGTGTAGCAGTTGATCTTGAATAAAAAGATTTTAGCAATGTCTTGTGTTGGAAAGAAGGTAGTGATCCACTGTCTGTGAACAAACAGCTCGCTCTCAATAGTTGGTGAGATGCAGTCTTAAAGGAGAACTCCGGCGAACAATGAACCTTTGGTTTAATAAAACATCGGTACCTAGTCAACCGTTCTCTGAGATTTGTTTTCATGATAATCGAATGTAAAGAGTTTTATCTCTAAAAACTGTTTAGCGTATAATGCTAGTAATGGGGGCATTGACTAAGTAAAAAGAAATCGCTAGTTTATACCATTAACAAGGCTCAAAATTAGGCATGTGCCGGTATCAAATTTTCATGCTGCGGTTAATTGATTGAGCTTTTATCACGGTATTCGGTATTGTCACGATATTCTTATGAAATTAATATTTTAATGTTTAAGAAAAACAGATGCATTGTGGGTCTCTAAAAAAACCCAACTTACATCAGAATGTGTAATTGTGATTTTCAAAACATATGGTAACTAAACTGAATTGTTTAAAGTTTAGTGACAACATGTTACAATGTTTACATGGTATAATGACTGGTAGGTTACTGTTTGTATTATTCAATTAAATTCTTGGATTTGATTTCAGTCTAATTCAATATTGACTGTTTTGGATAAATATTAGGCCCCAGTCTGTTAATGTTTCTCAAGAAAAAAAAATCTCTCACATAATGCTGTAAACATACAGAGAGAAATTAAATATAATATTTAGCAAAATACTCCTTGCTATTTTTTTCTATTCAACTAATGTGCTGGTCATTAAATGGCTTTCCTGAGGTAAATGTAACGTTTTGTGACACAACTGTTCTCCTGCAGTGTTACTAACCTTTCCGTGTTTGAAAACACTGATTGATCGTTATTATGTATAAGTAAATATACCTTTCGGTAAGTTGTACTGTATCTTTAAATAAAAACGAAAGTAACATGATCGGTTTACTTGAACTGAGGAGCAACGATCTGTGATCAGAACCTACAAGCTAATTTATCAATAACTTTATCAATTACAATTTTAATATCAAAAGTAACCTGCTCTGTCTAGTCTGTCGGTGTCCTCTTTGCTCTGTGATTTTTCTCTGTGTGAGAGCGTGTGAAAAGTGTCAAATGCGTTAATCGCCTTTCAGACAGGACGCGGAATGCGCGACGCTGGCCGCTTGGTTCAACGTTGCCCTTCAGATACAACGCGATTTGCCATTTTACAAATAAAAAGTTGAACTATTTTGTACTTTAACCCCGGCGTGTGTTGATCGATGCAGGTCGACGCAGCAACAAAACATCCCTGCGCGTCACGCGTGTATTCCGCGTCCTGTCTGAAAGTCTCAAGCTGAATGTGTTTATCCCCTGTGGGGATAAATCGTCGGGAGCGTTCCGCCATGCTTCTACTCCATGTGAGGATTGTTTACATTAGACTAGTGCGCACTGCCGCATGCACACAGTGCTTTTACATGTGGGGATTGTTTACATCAGAGTGCACGCGTGTTTTGCGCTGCACGCAGTGTTTGAGCGGTTGATGGAAAATAAGCTAATGCACGCTCTAAAAGTCTAAATTCGAATCTATTATTTTTCACGGTATTTTGAAGATCCCACGATAACAAAATCGTGCATATTCATTACCGCAATTTATTGCATTACCGAATACCGGTACATGTCTACTCAAAATACATAGTTCCCACAGGCGAATTAATGTCACGTGACCTCCCCGGAGACGCCATCTGTTCAGCCAAACCGCTGTGTTTACCATAGGCGTTTACAAAGTTTTATCAGAGAATGTGATTTTACAAACAAATATTTATTTCTGTTTATATTTTTATGCAAATCATGAAAAGTCAAAGTGAAATAGATTATAAAGAGTGTAGTGGTGTAGCGTTCAAAAACCATTATTTATCCAATGAGAAAATGTTTTTTTTCTAGTTATTTTGATTTTGTGCTGATAAAAGTGGGCGTTACCAGAATGGAGCCCAGTGATTCGAGGGAATGTCAGCTGTTAAGGCCAATTTATACTTCTGCGTAGGGTGCGTGCAGTAGGGACGGCGTAGCATACGCACAGACGCGTCCCATGCCGCGTACCCTTCGCCGTCGCCTGACGCGCACCTCTTCAAAAATGTAACTACACGTCGCGACGACGCGGACCGCAAGATCGGTTATTGGTCGGCTTGGTAGCATCGCATTTCCTCCTACGCATTTCCGCACGTACCTTCTCACACATTTCCACCACTGTCTATGAGTTCCACACGTACCATCTCCTCTGACGTCTTCTGTCATTTCTGCCTTTCAGTTTTAGTAATTTCACTAAAGTGAACTGTTTTTCCACCTCAATAAGCTCCAACTCCAACATGATCAGCTCTCTTTCAGTCGCTATTGCTTGTAGTAACCTAGCCGTGAGGAATCTAAACACAGTGGAACATTAAAACCCTCCGCCGCCAACTAGCGTTTCGGAGCAGTACTGCAGAGCAACCAAGACCTGAACGCAGAAGAATAAATGCTCACAACGGCGTCGCCTACGTGCGTAGCCAACGCCGTGCACTACGGCGTACCCTCGACGCAGAAGTATAAATTGGCCTTTAAGGAAAGATTTTCAGAAAGTGTAGCATGTTTGTTGAAATATATTTTGCGTTCTGATGAAATAAAGAGTTTCTTCACAATAACACCAGAAACGTGTTAAATGTAAATGGAGTTTGACTTTGAATTGTTTCTTGAACACATCAACGCTCAATTTCCCAGTCAGTTGCGTATCGAACACAAGATGCCTGCATGAGCATTGCAAAAAGTAGTTTCAATGCGTGATTCAGTCATGAAACTCTTCACAGTAGTTAATTGGTTCTTCTAAGTGGACAAGCAGTCGGTTCGTGTTCTTGAATATGTTTATGTTTGTCTCAGGATACGGCTGGTCAGGAGCGTTTTCATGCCCTTGGACCAATCTACTACAGAGATTCCAACGGCGCCATATTGGTGTATGATGTCACGGATGAGGACTCGTTTCAAAAGGTGATTGCTTATTTTAGATGATCAGAATCTAATGAGGTGTGTGTTTAGGGTTGTGTATCGAGAATCGAGTATCGATTGGAACCGAGACTAACTTTTCGTTTTTCCCGGAATCGTTCAAAAGTTAAAAATTCGATTCCTAGTGTCGATATTCACAGTCCAGTATGCGGAAGAAGAAACCGCTGAACAACACCAATGAAGAAGCGTCTACCGAAAGTGTTGGCATAACCACGCGAGTCGAACATGAGCACCTTACGTTGGCGATCCAAAGTGTGGCTTCACTTTTCTAAAAATAACGAAATCTCGACAAAATGCAAAATTTGTGACAAAAGGAGTATTTCCTTCAGAAAGGCCATTGGTTAGCAAGGTTAGCTAAACTTTTTTGACCCCGCCTCTTAAAAGAATCGGAATCGAGAATCGTTAGGAACCGGAATCGAAACAAGGAATCGGAATCCGAATCAGAATCGTTCAAATTCAAACGATACCCAACCCTATGTGTGTTACAATACACTTATCTCACAAGAAAAAGACTATACACGAGAATGAGGCGAGACGACGTTTTAACACCATTTTAAGAATTCTTCAATGTAAAAATATGGGACTGAAAGTCACAAAATGCAAAACAATGCAGGTGCGTTTTGAATTGTTTTCACTAATCTTGGGCTGTCACGATTATTTTGTTAATCGAATAGACGGTCGATTATTTTGAGTAATCGGATAATATTTTTTTGTGGTAATAAGAAGTGACCTAAGTGAACAATAGCCTTTAAAATGATTACAAATACATTCAATAACAAGCCAATAATAATTGGTACAAATGAAGCATCAAAAAAAATAATACATTTTATATGAATAACACTGTTAAATACATCATGTATATTATGTTTTATAACAAATGAGAGGGCTGGTGATTGTTGCTGTTACACTCGATCAAATCCTTGTTTAATATTGGCCAATCAACATTTAACCAAACTAAGCAAACATATTTTTCAAAACTACTGCCTTGATCAACACAAAATAGGTGTCATTTGAAGGTTAGAATTTGAACATTACAATGGATGCCAATTATGGATTAATCTTTAAGTAGAGTTATTTGCTGATAAAATCTTTTTTTTTCATAATCTATGAAATCCTTTTACTGTAATATGTCAAAAACATCATACAGCTTAAATAGTCGTGTCATTTGAAAAGTCTCACGGAGTAGAATTCAAGAAGTATAATAGTTTTTGACTTTAAAATGAGTTTTTGTACGTGAAGCCCCGTAAGACCCATATGTAAATGACGTACAGATGCGCCATTTGTCACGTTTTCGCTCGTAACTTCACGAAACATGCTCCAAAGGCTATTTTGGTTCCAAATGCTGCTCATATGTCGAGGGATTTCACCGAAAAACAATTATCACATATTTCCTTCCTAAGTTATTGCATATCAAATAAAAAAGATATACAAAATTTGAATAATTTGTATGTTTTTGGTTTTTTTTGTCTTTTCAGCAGTTTCTCAGTGTGAGAATTCCCAAATGTAATGAAATTTTTTTTGCTCTAAATTTAAAAAGTTTTCTATCAAACGGTACCTAACTTTTTGACTCTCCTTGCTATAGTTTTGGAGTTATGAGTCTTTACTTTTGTCATTCATTATTTTGAAATCACGATGAACAACAAATCACTCCGAAGCCCGCACCGCATGTATTTATGTAATTGATTATCGTGTAACGAATGTAACTCCAGGTCTACTTTCTGAGTATGAGACAGAACAACATAATGCAAGCACTGTAAAATGTTTTGCCACAAACTCAACTCCTTCATAGTGCAATAGCGCTTTCACCTCGATGAGAAATATCCCGTTTTAATATTGGAAAATCTCATAGCACTCTCGTCACACCCCTAGAATACAACAATGACTATGAAAGCCAACGATTAATTAATGTATTAAATCAAATCTCACATTTTTTACTAGTCTTCAAGACAGTATTTTACTGGGTGGAGTTCTAGTTTGTAGATTAATATGGTAAATGGTTTTTTAATGATTTGGTCTTGCTGTAACCTAACTCTTGTTTTCTTGATAGGTGAAGAATTGGGTAAAAGAATTGAGGAAAATGTTGGGGAATGAGATCTGTTTATGTATAGTAGGTGAGTAACATTTGGGTGATTCTGGTGGGAAATCTGGCAATTGGGTTTTAGGATGTTACAGGGTTCACTAGTCATGGAAGATATGAGAGAAGTTTTTAAATGGTGATTGCCTGGGAAACTAGAAATGGATAAAAACCTTAAGATCATGGGAATATCTAATTTCTTCCAGTTGTGTTCAGCTCTAAAACATGTCATCAGCTATTTCTAGCGCTCTCTGTGAGCACAAACTCAAAAATGATTTACTCGAAATCCTTAAACTGGAGAAGTCATGGGAGTTCTTTGGTCTTAAAGAGTGGGAACGATGATGGGAAATGTGTTAATATTGATAGCAGAAAAGCATTATCTCATTAGACTGAATGTTTAATAAAGATGCAATGGATGGTTATGTCTGAAACTTTCCATAATCACGACTTAGTATGCATTCTACAATTACGATGTAATACTTATGTAACGTATTGATTTTTACTTGAATTGTATCTTTCTTTCTTTTTTAGGCAATAAAATTGACCTGGATAAAGAGCGACATGTTTCAGTGGAGGAAGCAGAGGGGTATGTACTTATCTCATGTCTGTAATGTGTTTTTACTGCAGATAGTGTGCGTTTTATTGAAACGGGATGTTTTTAGTATGCCTTGTGGATATTAGATCATGTGGAAGGAAACATTGGATGCGAGGGACAGAAGTCAGTCTATCAACAATGAAAATGTCCTTGAAATACAAATAAAGCTATAGAACTTTTTAAACTTCAATTTGGCTCTAAATTTCAGCTATCAGCAGTGTTGGTTAATAAGTTATCGGATTTGGCTTGTAAATGGCTGTATGCTTCAAAGTGGCCTGAAACGCATGCAAAACTAGTGCCTAAAGATATATTTATATATTTTGGTTTTGTTATAAATGTACTTTTACAGTTTTATATAGTCATAGTCTATATTAATATCTCTTAGATTAATCCTCTTAGTGTATCCTGCATGACGTTCACATCCACTGAAAGACTGGTCACATGATTTAGACGGTCACATGAGAAGATCAGTTCACACATGATATACTGTATCATACTGTAGCAGTAAATTGTCCTCTTCTGTGTTACTTTTCAAAATAGGTTTTTAATAAGTTTACTGTAGAAATGTGGGAACATCTTTTCTTAAACTGCTCTTATCCCGAACCTTCATTCCAAAAATAATTGTCTCAATCTGTGTTTTTGTCCTGTTTTCAAGTAAAAAGGTCTAAACATCCTTAAAGTAAGATGCATTATTTTGAGAAGCAAATTTTACTGATATCTGTCCGTATTAGGGGCGTTTTATTCATAATACCACAAAATAAAATGCTTACAGCTAGAGCTGCATGATAATGTTTATACGTGATTATTTTGCAAAATATTATAATCACAATTACTAATCAATGGATCTCATTTGAGAAATGAAATGAATATATACACTGAAAAAAAATATTGATGGTTTAACTTAAAAAAGTAAGTAACCTGGTTGCCTTAAAATTTTAAGTTGATTGAACTGGAAAAAGTGAGTTAATACAATGAAGGAGATTAATTTAACAATCAGAAACTCAAAACTATATGTTATCTGAACTAAATAAATTATTTAAGTTGATTTGACAAAAGAAAAAATGTTGTGATTACTACTTTGTAAAAAAAATATTGTTGGTTTAACTTAAAAAAATAAGTAACCTGGTTGCCTTAAAATTTTAAGTTGAATGAACTGGAAAAAGTGAGTTAATACAATGAAGTAGATTAATTTAACCATCAGAAACTCAAAATAATAAGTTATCTCAACTAAATAAATTATTAAGTTGATTTGACCAAAGAAAATATGTTGTGATAACAAATCTTGAAAATATTTTTGTATATATATATATATATATATATAAAAATATAAAATGCACTTATTGTACAGTATTAACTTTCAATGTAATAATGTAATAAACGTTCTGGCAGTCATGATCCGATTCCAAAACCAAAGATTTTTTCTTATTAATTAATCGTATTAATAAATCTTAAAATATGTTTTAATTTAATTACTAAAGTAATTATTAGTACTTTTTAAAATAATTATATATTTAAAAAAATATTGCTTCAAAATATAAAAGCTAATAATAAAGAGAAACAACAAAAAAAACGTATTACAAGCAATAAACAAAGAGTGCTTTCAGTATTTTAGAGTATCTAAATGTTTTTCCTACAAGAGTGATTTTTCTCTTTCTCAGCTTTACTGTTGTTTGATTTACTGATGACTTAATAGACAGCGGGAGATCGAATAAGCTGCGTTCACTTTTATTTATGAAAGATTGCTTTAGGGAAGGTTTGAGTGTGTGTGTGTGAGGAATTGGAAGCAAGCAGAATGCGGGTGTTTCTAAAGCACATGCAGCGTCATCGCGCATCTGCGGTTAAAATCTAAGCTCCAAATCTATTCTGTATTTCTCAGAATCAATTTCAGAATCGTTGAAGAGAGAATTGCGATTCATTGATTTTTTTTTTTTTTTTTTTTTATTGGAATTTTTTTTTCTCATACCCCTAATTAATTCCAATAATGTCACATTTACACTTTTTTATTGTAGTCGAGTTGTATAATTGTTTATTCCGCAACCACGATCACAAACATTATGATCAATTCAACAATCATGTTTGTATTTATTACAGTCCGTCACAGAGAAGGTTCGCTTGTTGATTTAGTAGCAGCAAATAGGACGCACAGTACTGGCTGTATGACACTTTAATTCGAGCAGAATTTGACAATAGATATCAGTAAACGGCAACATACATATCTGACAGTGTTGTCACATCATCAGCGCTTTTTTGCATCACAGAGAGAGCTTCTGCGTGCATATGGTTGCCAAATTGACAAGATTAAATAAAACACTCAGCGGAAATGTATCCTTTTAAGATAAAAGCTCCATTTGGGGGATTTAAGCTTTTGGCTTCTGGAAACCCCCAAGCAAGATAGTGGAGGTGTATTAATAGTGCAAGATAACGGAAATGTAGGGGGGAAAAAATGTTTTTACGACAAATAAACAGCAGGCTGATTTTTATTTTATTTTTTTTAATTCTTTTTACATTATAATTCTCCTGATTAAAATACGATTATTCATGCAGGCCTACTTCCAACGCCTTTAAGTGCTTTCTGAGAAGTTGTTATTTTGTTAATTTTTTTTTTTTGTCCTTTTCCAGATATGCAGAGTCAGTGGGTGCAAAACACTATCACACATCCGCCAAATTAAACAAAGGCATTGAGGAGCTGTTTCTGGACCTGTGTAAACGTATGTTGCTTTTAGATGCTGTGTATTCTGTCAGTCTGTCTGATTCCTATAACAGGGCCTGAATTTTATTTCAGGAGGAGGGGTGGGGATGGGGGTGTTTGAGTTCAATTTAAGGTGAAGTAGAATTATCATCTCACCTAAATGTTTGATTACTGTGTTTTTACAATTAATGCAATTATATGCTGAATCATGTTGAATCATTTGGGAGATACAGAAATTTAAAAGGAAGTTTGTTTAGAAATTATTTATTTTTAAGATTACCTTAAGTCTTGATTAAGTTTTTTTTTGGGGGTCTACTAGAATAGGTTTTCATGCTTTTATGGTAAAAAAACACGTTATTTTTCACATATTTGACGTTGTTGCAGCACCTCTCTTCTCAGGCTGTCTGTAGCCATGTTTCCATCGACACGTTTTTTATCCGAATTAAGTGATATCGAATGAAAAAAGCCTTATGGAAACAGTAAAATTCGATGAAATTTCATGAAAATCGACTCAAATGAAATACGTTCGGTCTCATCGGATTTTCTCTTGATCGATATACGGCTAATGCGATAAAAGCTGATGGAAACGTTATTTGCCGAATAAATAATGAATTGCGATTAAGTTTTATGCCCTTTTATGGTTGCAACACGTCAGAAGACGAGTTCATTTCCGGCCAGTCTGTTTGCGCACACATGGCGGATGTCAACAAAGACAGATGTAAGTGGACAAAGCAAAAAGATGCTTCAACCAAAGGGTTTCCGTGAACCACGATCTCCCAGAACTGATGGAGCGCTCGTTCCCACACCACAGTCACCTCCGCTGTCGTCGGGCATACGTGCATCGTCATCATATATATATATATATATATAACACACCGTTGCCATGGACGCAGTTCAGAGACGGAACAGACTATTTTCTTTAGCAGAAGCAATACTCGTTTTTAAATCAATAAACTCGTTTTTAAGTCAATATTTTGTGTCAAATTATTGATTTATTTATTTATTTGGTTGATTTATATGTAATAAGCAGGATAATATATAGCGAGGCGGTTGTTATAGCGAATAGAACCAACAACCGCCTCGCATACATTATCCCATTCATATGTCGCAATCAGCTGGCACATAAGCATTATTAGCCTTCAACTTGTGAAATATTGATCATTTTTGGTAGATGGCGCGATCCGTTTTGTCTAACAAAACTTTGTTCGCAAAAGTTTGCTTGAATGTTGTTCGATTCAGTGCGAAAATAAATGGAAACACCTTAAAATGTCTCAAATCAATTCGATATACCAATTTGATCGCAAAACAGCATGTGACGTCATTACGTACAGGTTTTTATTCGCTTTAAAGCCGTTGGATGGAAACACACTTTCACCAGCTTTATCCGCATGAGTTTTTTAACCGAATTTCAGATAATTCGATTAACAAGTGGATGGAAACATAGTAACACTCTATTTAGTTCTGATCTCTATTAAGCCCCTCCTTCTGAAAAGCACAATGTGCTCTGATTGGTCTGCTGGATCAGTGTGTGGTGATTGGTCAAACACTTCAAAAGTGTGATTTGGAAATGTCACACCCCTTCTATAACCGCAAGTTTCAACACACTACTAACACAACTCTGCTAGACCTCTTCCCTTTTTTTGCTTATGCCTTGGGTGGGAAGTATTTAAATGAGGAATTTTGAGACATGTTCATTACTGGAAGACTACAAACGGGGCGTTTCAGGGAACAGTTCTTACTAATAAAGAGAGTAACTCACTTTGGAGTCCATAAACCTTTTTCATGCTAAAATGACAACATTAAACACTAAAGTGGAAAATATAAAAAAGCATAATAGGACTCCTTTAACTAAAAATGAAACAAAAATTAAGTGTAGTCAGTCTGTATCACGGTATTTATTACTATTTTGGCGATTTCGCTGTATATCACTGTATTTTTTTTCTTTTCATGATTAGACCTTTTATACAAGTTTATAGTGGCTTATTTTAAAGGAGTAGTTCACTTTAAAAAAAAAATTGCTGATAATTTACTCACCCCCATGTCATCCAAGATGTCATGTCTTTCTTTCTTCAGTCGAAAAGAAATGAAGGTTTTGATGAAAACATTCCAGGATTTTCTCCATATAATGGATTTCATTGGGCACCAAACGGTTCAAGATCCAAATGAGAGTTTCAGTGCAGCTTCAAACGACACCAGACAATGAATAAGGGTCTTATCTAGCATTTCGATCGTTTCGATGAGTCATTTAAAAAATAAATAAAAAAGTTTATTTTTTATAAACACAAATGCTCGCTTTGCTCTGTTCTGTGACGAGCGTTCCTGACTCTCCTGTTCAAACTCGTTCATCAAAATGAACAAATGTTTTTTCAAGTCGTGACTCAAAGGTCCTAGATAAGACCCTTATTCATCGTCTGGTGTCCTTTAAAGCCCTTTGAAGCTGCACTGAAACTCTCATTTGGACCTTGAACCGTTTGGTTCCCATTGAAGTACATTTATATGGAGAAAATCCTGGAATGTTTTCATCAAAAACCTTCATTTCTTTTCGACTGAAGAAAGAAAGACGTGGACATCTTGGATGACATGGAGGTGAGTAAATTATCAGCAAAAGTTTTTTTAAAAGTGACCTCCTCCTTTAACATTGTAGTGTCAAATACAATTTTACTTTAATAAATTCAAGTTAATCAAATTTATAAAACTAACAATTTAGTTAACCCTTTAAAATCTAATCAAATGTAATAATTCCTTGAATTTTTGGAAAATTAGCTTAAAATTAAGTTTGTTTTAAATTAAAACGTGTATAAAAACTTGTGTGATGTTCCTAAAAAATAATTGGTTATGGTCATGCCTGCTAAATGCATCTAGATTCATACCTAGAAAGTGGACCATGTTTTTTGGTTCATGGTGTTAAAGGAGTAGTTTGAGCACTTTTCAAAAAAACTTTTGCTGATAATTTACTCACCCCCATGTCATCCAAGATGTCCATGTCTTTCTTTCTTCAGTTGAAAAGAAATTAAGGTTTTTGATAAACATTCCAGCCTTTTTCTCCATATAATGGACTTCAATGGGAACCAAACGATTCAAGGTCCAAAAAACAGTTTCAGTGCAAACTGTTCAAAGGGCTTTAAACGATTTCAGACAATGAATAGGGTCTTATCAATCGAAACGATCGCTCATTTAAAAAAAAAAATATATATATATATATATATATATATATATATATATACGCTCAAATGGTTGCCTTGCTCTGTTCTGTGATGCGCATTCGTGACTCTCCTGTTCGAACTTGTTCATCAAAATGAACAAATCTTTTTCCGAGTCAATTTGTTCGTTTTGTTTGTTGAATGAACCAAATCTGAAAAAATCTGACTGAAAAAAATTAGTTAATTTTGAACAGGAGAGTCACACAAACGTGCGTCACAGAAAAAGGTGAGCATTTGATCTTTTACTCATTACTGGATTCTAAACCACAAGGAAATGCCACAATTTATCAAGACCTTGAAGCAGATAGGAGGGAGAAACGCCTCATACGTGGCGCTCAAGTATTTGCGTTAATGCTCAAGTATAAGGGACTTTCCTTGCCATTAATGCTCGGATAACAAGCCTACATCTTCTTCGATTGCTAGTGCACTGGCTCGGATATACGTAAACCTTCCAACTAGTGCTGTAGCGGCGCGTCGATGATTCGATGTCAAAATTTCGTCGACGTCATATTTTTGCGTCGACGCTTCTTTATTTATTTATTTTTTGCATGTTCCCGGCGGTACAGCTTGCCACACACACGTGGGAGACCGACACATTGCAGAATAGAGGACGAAGACAACTAGAAGTGAATGTGCTCTCCATTAAATGAATCACACACAGTAAACAAACCCTTAAGAAAAAAACTTCGCAATTTAGCGCAAACTGGGTGCCGGTGTGGTGAGACGTACAAGCTCGGGCAGATTCGGCTTGAAGTGGTTCCCGGACGCGGCGCCGGGCGCGTTGTTACAAAAAAAGGCATATACACTGCCAGCCACAGTCTTCCTGGTCTTGCGCACCCAACGGGTCATTTTTGCCGTGCGCACATTCGCGCTCGTGCGGACGTGTCGAGTATAAACAAGGCTTTACTCCGTGTCAGCACGCGCTCTGATCAGTCGGTGAACTCCGCCTCCGACTCCGTTTCCCTCAGCTGATATTAATATTTAAACATTCTCTATGATAAAAAATGTTTGTAAAAAATATTTTAATAACACGGTTTTGGCGGTTGTAGAGTTATGATGGTGTTCAAATACATAACATTAGACTAACGTTAGCCAGCTTATAGTATCTTGATTCAGTATGCTAGTATTTATTTGAGATATTGTTTTTTTATTAATTGAGCAGCAGAAAAAATATTCTTTATATTAGTCGTCCAATTAGTCATTAGATTAGTCGACTAATCGATAAAATAATCGCCCAACTAATCGTTTAGTTAATAATCGTTTACCCCAGCCCTACTTCCAACATCCATTGCCATGATTTTTCAAAATTTCAAAAATTACGTTTTAGTCGCCGTCACTTCACAATTGTTTTTTATCGACATTCATAATATATCGCAAATGTTTTACACAAATCTGTAATGGAAACGCGGCTATTGTCTCAGAACGGATTTGTTCGAATTAAATGCTGCTCCACACCAACTTCAGACTCTAGAACGCAACATCCACAAAAAATCTTTTATCCTAATCATTCTTAAATATATCTTTTTTATTTTTGGCCAAATTGTATATTATTGTATATATTAATTGTGTACTGCGTTTTTTTTTTTTTTTTTTTTTTTTTTTAAATCAGAAAAAAAGGGATCCTACGGAGCCCCTCTAGTCCCACTTTGGTAAAAAAAAATTAATTAACTATCTTGTGGTCTCAAGATAGTAACTCGTGGCCTCAAGATACTAACTCGTGGCCTCAAGATAGTAACTCGTGGCCTCAAGATAGTAACTCCTGGCCACGAGATACTAACTCGTGGCCTCGAGATAGTAACTCGTGGCCTCAAGATACTAACTCTATCTTGAGGCAATGAGTTACTATCTTGTGGCCACGAGTTAGTATCTTGAGGCCACGAGTTACTATCTTGAGGCCACTAGTTACTATCTTGAGGCCACGAGTTAGTATCTTGAGGCCACGAGTTACTATCTTGAGGCCACAAGATAGTTATAATTAATTTTTTTTACCAAAGTGGGACTAGAGGGGCTCCGTAGGATCCACCCAAAAATTAACTTTTAATTTTAACACTTTTATACTTTCCCAGATGTATATGTCAAGACTTAGTATAAATATTCTAGATGTATTTTATGGCGGCAACCCATAATTCATCCTCAGTGGATGAATCAATGTCTTCTGAAGTGTGTGTAAGAAAAAAAACTAACTTTTTTGGACTATAAAGTTTATAAACAATCACTTTCACAATGCGATAAGTGGTGGTCCTCTGTGCTTCCAAGTCACTTTTCACGCAAATGTCAACACTCTCTTCAGAACATGGAGACATTGAGTCATCCACTTGCAATATATTTATTTGTCTATTTTATAGATTATTACTTATCGGTCTTACATTTTTGCCGGCATCTGTAGGGATGATGGAGACGGCTCAGGCGGAGGAGAGGTCAAGGGGGAACGGCGCGAGTCACACAAGCACAGCCCGGAGAGGCGTACAGATCGTTGATGACGAGCCGCAGACTGCCATACCTGCCGGAGGCTGTTGTACATCCGCCTAAACACACTTACACACTTTTACCATACCTGGGACTGATAACGGCCTCTCTGTGTAAGAACTGCCACTTCCCACAGCTACACTTATCTGCGACCGCTCTACAGCTCTGTCAAGTCATTGCTTTAACAGTCTATTCCTAATTGAAGCGGTTGATTTATAACTCCACCCTTTCTCTGGAGGACTTAAGGGGTGAAAAGATGCCAGACTGACCTGTTCTGATGATTCACTTAGGCAAGTTATTACAAATAGTAGCAAACTATAATGCCCAATCTTATGAAACACATGCACTGATACATTTTCCTAACAATCTGATGTTGGCTCTTTTTTTCTTTTCTTTTTTTGGCAAGGTGTTGTGCATGTAGAATCTTTAAAATCCTTGTTATATTTTACGTCTAAGAAAAAAACAAGAAAGTCTTTATTATTTAATAACTTATTTACAATTTCATCAAACATCTACATGTCCAAAGACCTTTGTGCTTCTTGTCATTCTTATAAAGTCTCATCCTCCTGTCTTTCATATCTTCTGTATCTTTCTTAAAAATGCAACATTAAAGTCCATTTAGATCATTTAAACTCCTTGTAGATTTTGTCTTTTCTCTTCAACTTGCCTGTTTACTAAATTTAAAAATGTATTGTTTGCTTGCTAAATTCTTTATAGAGAAAATTATCCAATACTGTGTACTTTACTTTTTCAAGCTATCATATGCAGTCAGAAAAGTGTACAGATATTCAATATTGTATGAATGTAAAATGAATAACGGCTGTGGTAACGTTTTTTTTTTAATTTGTTTTTAATTGTTGCTTTTACTATGTTCATTTTTTTTTTCAAGATCTGAACATTTGGAGAGTTTGTGGAACTATTAAAAGTTTCCACAATCACATCACCTGTAAACACTGAGGTGCAGCTGTGAGCCTTCTGTGCCTTTAAATAAAAGTGTCTAGATTGATCCACCTATTGTCTCCTAGCATATATTATTAGTAAAAACTTTACTTTTTTTAATTTTGAGGAGGTCTGCAAATTATTTGGTTAGATTTACAGTTGCATGATGAAATGTTGGTTAAGCGTTGTAACTGTGTCTCTATGACTGAAGACCACTAGAGGGCATAAATGAGTGGAATACCTTCATGTCTTTCTGCTTGTTAAGAACCCTAAATAGAAGCATTCGCCTTGTGACCTTAATGAGGTGTCTCAATAAATGTCTGCCTTCAAATCAACTATCAACTTTTTTAGAAGTCTTTTCATTGACCTGAGTGACTGGAGACTGGTGGTCTTCGGCCAGTCAGAGAACCACGGTTATCTGCGTAACAAATATATTCTGTTTCCTTGGCTTCTGACTGCAAGAGGGCATGACTGAGTGGAAGATGAATAACACCTATTTCACGAGTCTGCAATGTGCCTCACCTAAAGGATTATTAAGAACACCTCTTCAATTTCTCATTAATGCAATTATCTAATCAACCAATCACATGGCAGTTGCTTCATTGCATTTAGGGGTGTGGTCCTGGTCAAGACAATCTCCTGAACTCCAAACTGAATGTCAGAATGGGAAAGAAAGGTGATTCAAGCAATTTTGAGCGTGGCATGGTTGTTGGTGCCAGACAGGCCGGTCTGAGTATTTCACAATCTGCTCAGTTACTGGGATTTTCAAACACAACCATTTCTAGGGTTTACAAAGAATGGTATGAAAAGGGAAAAACATCCAGTGGGCGAAAATGCCTTGTTGATGCTAGAGGTCAGAGGATAATGGGCCGACTGATTCAAGCTGATAGAAAAGCAACTTAGACTGAAATAACCACTCGTTACAACCGAGGTATGCAGCAAAGCATTTGTGGAGTCACAACACGCACAACCTTGAGGCGGATGGGCTACAACAGCAGAAGACCCCACCGGGTACCACACATCTCCACTACAAATAGGAAAAAGAGGCTACAATTTGCAAGAGCTCACCAAAATTGGACAGTTGAAGACTGGAAAAATGTTGCCTGGTCTGATGAGTCTGGATTTCTGTTGAGACATTCAGATGGTAGAGTCAGAATTTGGCGTAAACAGAATGAGAACGTGGATCCATCATGCATTGTCACCACTGTGCTGGCTGGTGGTGGTGAGTGGGGGATGTTTTCTTGGCACCCTTAGTGCCAATTGGGCATTGTTTAAATGCCACAGCCTTTGTGAGCATTGTTTCTGATCATGCCCATCCCTTTATTATATATATATATATATATATATATATATATAAATACTAAAATACATGATATCTGGAAGCAATGTAATACGTACACAGTGACAAGAAAGTCTCTCACTTCTGCTAGTTTTGCTGATATCTCTTATCCTGTACGAATTAGCCGTTATTACTACTGACGTCCTGTTGCAAAATTTACTCCATCTACCCTTGTAAAACGAATCTCCACCGAATAGGGCTTAAGCCTGTTGAATGGTGTAGAGTCAGGCGAAGAGCTGTGGTTGGCCACTGGTCCATTTTTCTGCAGAGTTTAGCTCCAACCCTAATCAAAAACACGTCTTTAGGATTACTGTATAAATAACTGGTCCAGGATGAAGACCACAATTGTGGATCTGAGGTCTGCTGTGTGAAACGCCGGTAACAACACTAGTGCATTAAGTTAAAAAAAGCCTTTGATTCATCTGGACTCCACTGGAAACCAAGGCCTACTTGGCCAGCAATAACAGCGGCTGGTTCAATATCTGAATGCGACTTAAACTAACCCAATGATTGGAAATTGAGGAAACGTGTAAACATGTAAGCCATCACATCCTGCCCTAGTGAACCCGTTTCCTTGCTCAGCTAGAACCATTTCTGACATTTCACTGACTGACTGTTCACAAATAGATTCATGTCCACTGTCTCATATGTGAACTGACGCCGGATGGAGTTGCTACTCTCCTGACAACATGTGTGCATTGCTCTTAGAGAAAATAGGTGTCTTTTATTTGCCCTAAAGGCTTAGTTTGTGCAAAGCCTGAAAAGAGAGGTTGAAAATGGCTGAATTAGCACTTTTGTGTTCTGAAAGTGATTTATTGTTGAAAACAAGTTTCGGTTCCTGGTAATTGATATGCTGGGACCAAATTTTTTTTTTTTTCATCTTCCCATCATGCCTGTCTGACACCCTTACCCCTCCCCTTGAGTTAAGTAGTTTTACGTTTTAGTACCATGTCACGTTAGCCTGACTTCTTCATTCTCATATTCTTGTCGGAATATGAGTCTGAAACTGCTCCGTAGGGCTTTGATTATGAAGCGTGTCTTAACCGAACCTGGAAAAAAAAACTTTGCACTCAATTGGATAGTCGGTAAACCCTCAACCAATCAGAGCAACGCAGTAAGTGAACTACTTTGCATACAGTTGTCAACTACAGAACGTAGCCTAACTTTACTTATTTTAGAAGTTAAATAACAAGTGTCGCTTCTTTTACTTACTCCTCCATGAGCGCGACCAAAGGAGAAACCACAACGACCACAGGCTTTTCATTACGCCCCATCTTCTTAGCGACCGTCAGAGCCAGCTGATAAGTTACACTTTTGCCGAATCATGTAGGAAGGACGGCAAAGATATCTTTCCGATCGACAAATGCCTTGATTGCAGTTTTCTGTTTGTCTATTAAAATTAATGCATTGTCGATTTATTTCACAACAGACGCGACAGTGGAATCTATACATCTCAATTCTCCAGCTGCAGTCATCTTTGACAAGCGCTCTTTGATAACATGATGATTACGTCTACGTTAAAACTGTAGACTTTATATGTACAAAAGTGCATTTAAAACTAATTGATTTTTCAATAAATGGCAACAAATATTTTGCAAGCAAGTACGGGAGAGAGAGCAGGTCTCTAATGTAGGGGTGCACGATATATCGGCCACTATATCGGTATCTGCCGATATTTGCTCATTTTTATGTTATCGTTATCGGCCCGATAATAACATTTGGCTGATATGTTAAAGCTGATAAATAATGAATTATTTCCTTAAATACTTGACACCTGAGACACTTAAGATGTGCACTGTTCAACATGATTGATCTTAATTGCTTGAAATAATAGTTAAAAATATAGTTAAGTGCAAAATCTGCTGTCATATCGGCTACATAAAATTATAATGAGAACATTATAATTGTGTTAGGGGACGGATTTTAATTGTGAGACTTTTGTTTTTGCAATCAGGCGTTCAAAAAGTATATAAAAATTTGATTTAGATTTATATATATCGGTTATCGGCTTTCAAATATAAAGAAATATCGGTATCGGCCAAAATTTTCATATCAGTGCATCCCTACTCTAATGTGATCTAATGTGATTGCAGGTCACGCATTTGAAACTGGCACTGCAAGGCAAATACACCCACCAGGACGAATAACTAGAAGCCTTAAATGAAACAAAATGAAATGATTTCTCTAACTGACTTCTGAAGCAACAGGCCTGCTTTCCAAATTCTCTCTGAACAGCTGGTCCAAAAACCTGACCAGGAATCAGAATGAGTATCCCTGCAAGGTTTAGAGAAGGATGATTGCACTATAAAAACTTTGCGCTGTACCTGAACCAACCACCCCATGGCTTTGACCCGCTATTAAACCCACCGATTGCAGAGCTACATTTACCAGATCGGTAGCTGCAGAGTCTGATGTTTGGCCTTAGTCTTGTTTACATGGCAAAGTGTATTAACAGTCTTCTGCACCCAGACAGTCCATTGAATTATATACATTATATTAAGCTATCCATGCCTCTAGATTCCTTATTCAGACAGATTGTCTTAATGCTTCTCCAGAGGCCACTACTCACTGGCTCAACTAAGGACATTGGTCCCAAGCCTATTGGTTCCAGTTCTTCCATTGCCGACAGCAGATGCAAAACACTTCATTAAAACCTTGTTTAGAAGAAATGATCTCAATCTCACATTCTGGCGTCAACCACTATATCTATTCTGAGATCCCTCAGGTCTTTCTATTAATCAGAGCAGGAGTGAAATTATAGCGGTTACTACTTTGGATATTACTGACATATAGTAGGGGTTAGCAGGGAACAACTTAGGCAAGAAATACCCAGATGAGTAGCTTCTAACAGCGAGCGAGATTCTGAAGTGCGCATTCAATAGACACTTTGCTCTGTCCAAAATGGCACCCTAAACACTCATGGTCTTCCTTCGAGTCCTCACTTTCATGACGTAAATTCTATTTGACTGTCTGGAAGAAGCCTAGGAGAGGAATAGAAGGGGTAGGGGACAACCTAACGCGGGGTTAAATGTAACACGGACCGTTTACATAGTTCGTCAGGATCAAGCAGGCTTTACGATATTTTTCTCTTGCTGCCAGAAGACGGTCTCCCGCGAATTTGCGGAAAATTTTGATTATATTTCGTGAGGATACTTGACAAAGAGTGTTTTGACACCGTCACCATTAAAGTAATTTTTTTCATCATAGATTTTTTTCGGTTTCTGAGTTGGGTGAATAAGTTTCCAAATCTAACTTTATATTGCCTTAATCACTGTCTTGTTGGCTCAAACATAGCACCGTTTTGAAACTTGTCAACAATTCCTACCCGGATAGCAAACTGACATTGAATCAACGTGGAAATATGACATCGAAACAACGTTGATCTGACATTGTTTTGCTCATCGAATTAACGTTGAACCAACGTCAGATGCGTCATTCTTTCAAAACTAACGGAAAATCAACTTGAAATCAACGCGTTGTTTCAACGTTATGAAAGCAAACCAATTTTCGATTTCATTTAGCTTTGAAGAATGCCGCGTCTGACGTTGGTTCAACGTTAATTCGATGAGCAAATCAACGTTGTTTCAATGTCATGAGAGACGTCGTTTCCACGTTGATTCAATGTCAGTTTGCTGTCTGGGTAGCGACTGTTAGCTAGGTTTAAAATATGTAATAGGCCTACACAGCGGGGTTCGTTGTGACACAGTGTTACAAACAAGACGCCAAGTGTACAA